CGGGCGCGGGAGCGCGCGGGAAGCGCTGGGTTTGGTGTTTGAAATGAACGTGATAGTGGGAGTTGTTAATAAATAAATAAATAAGGCAGGAGCTAAGCCGGCAGAATGGCTCCTTAGGAAAGTGGTCACGGCCCCCCAAGCCTGACAAGAGTTCAAAGAGCGTTTGGACAATGCTCTCAGGCACGTGGTGTGACTCTTGGGGATGGTCCCGTGCCCTGCTAAGAGCTGGACTCGGTGATCCATGTGGGTCCCTTCCAACGCGGCATGGTCTGTGATTCCGAGTGACTCACCGCAGTGAGTGGCTCTATAGCATGGGCTGTGCTCCCTTCGGTTTGCCCTGCATTTCCCTGGTGCCAGCCGCTCTTCCCGTGAAGGGTCTGGGGAAAAACACCTCGTTGTTACCAAATGTACAAGGTTCCTGTCCGACATACACATAACAGCAAACAAGCAGTCAGCTGGCGTCCCTTAAGGATGGAAACCTGCCCAAAGCATCTCTGTAAAGTGTAGTGAATTCACTGAGTGAATTGGGTACTGTAGCACACACTTCGGTCACTTACACATGTACTGCGGGTTAAACTGCTTGAAATATGTGCCAGGAGATACACAATGCGCTATATATATACCATGTTTAATGTTACAATGCTCTTAGGGCACCTGTGTATTAGAGGGGGGGTTGACCTCTGAAAGTTCAAAGTAATTCAGCACTACAAATCCACAAGAATAGAGGGCCTGTGGCTTATTATAAACACAAACTTGTTTGGATTGTGGAAAGTAATTAAATGCATTGGGGGGGGGGAAGGAAAATGCTATGTAAGGTCTTAAAGTGCTTTGGGTTCATTTTCGGTTCTTGTGAGATAAATGGAAATGAAAATGAAAATAAACTTTTATAGGACACAGCAGATCAGGGTCAGGAAGGCATTAACTCAGCCGAGAGCCAGATGGTTCCTGCAGGGATATCTGTAATAGTGCAGTGCGGCAGTGCTGCTGTGCTGCGCCCACCTGTGTCTGTGTGCAAGTTCCTGTGCCTCCATATGTAGTGGGGCACAGAAGTGCCTCCATATGTTGAGAGGTAGAAGATGGC